TCGGGCCATGGCTAGTAGCTGGGAACGATAGTCTGCAAGGTCATCTGCAAGGACTTGGCCGGCCCTGACTCCCCAACGAAATGACGAGACCTGCGTTGTATTCAAGGTGCGCTTCTGTAACTAGGAGAAGGCCTACCTTATCAGCGTGCTTCTGATCATCAGGTGCTAGTCCAACTAGGTCAGTCCACTTAAGTTGACTGGTGGCCAAGGCAACTAGGTCAGGCATCTCAAACAGTGTAACCGGTACAGTCATTGTCTACCAGGCCGAAGTGCTGCCGAGGGTAGAGAAATCTGGCAACTTCGAGCACGAAAACCCCCGCCCAATAGTAAGGGACGTCACGGAGCCCATTTTGGTGATTGGCGGTGACCCACAGGACATCAGTCTTTTCCTTATGCGGTCCTACCAACTTACATCGTGAGGCCCACCATTTGGCAAAAGCAGGCCAGTGTGGGACATCAGCAGGGTCTCGATTGTCAACTATGAGGTAAACCATGTCATTACCATTGATGCGGTCTGCATATTGTAAAAGACAGCGAAAGATCTCAGTGTACTTGGGGCCCTGCCCAGACTGATCCATGGTCGCATAACCATCATCCCTGTCCACTGGCTGAGACCTGACATCTTCGACACGACACGGCCCTAGGGATCGGTCCATGCCAAGGTATGGTTCAACCCTGTTGGGGGCATCAAGTGCTCGATAAGTTTGTGCATATACTTCATTAACGGACTTCTTGCAGCCATGGATGAACATGTGTGCTTTGGCTTGCGTGATCCATCCAGTGCCGGACTGGATATAGGGCGTGGCTGGAGCACTTGCATCATCAAAACAGTCCGTGAGATCAAGCTCATTGTCTTGCATGTCATTCATATCATCATCAATGCTAACTGCCCAGTCAGATCCTGCAAGAGGGGCAGCCGTTGACAGCGATCCGGCCACGCCATCAGAGAGCCTCCTCCGTAGCCCTTTGGCTCAAGCTTTTCGGTTCAAACTCATTCAAATCTGATGAGCAGGAGGATCAAGGTTTTCTCTTAAAGTCAAGCCTTCGCATCTTTTTCGAGCAATTGAAGATGCTGGCTTTTTGAAGATCCAACGGATCGAAGCTGCCGAAGCACCTTCTCACCAATAAAGATGTTGGGGAGTGCAAGAGCGGCATGTTTTTCATGACACGTGTGCCCGCAATGTCAGGGCCCTTGAGCGTGTGAAAGTAGCAGTGCGAAACCTGCAGCCATGTTTGCTTTGTGAACCAGGCTCCCACAGACCCTTGGGTTTGTAGTTCAAATTTGTTCGATTTGCATCCCAAGGCTCATAGAGTGAGTTCAATGCACCTCAAGCCCTGGGCCTGTGGTTTGGTGTTCGGAGTAGTTTGAACCCCAACCCAGAGTTCATAGATTGCAACCCAAGCCAAAGAAACCATCATTACGAGCTGGAACGCATGGCTGGGATACTAACCATCACAGTGTTGTCTTCCTTAGGACAGAGTTCTTTCAGACTTTGTTTCTCGATACACTATAATGTGAAATACGCCTCAATGAGAAAAGACCCACAGGTGACGTTGCTTGTCGTCTCATGAAACCGCATCTCAAGCTTGAAACCGACTTTCTTTCAACGTCCGTCCAACATGAAGTGCTTCTTGAGTCTTTGAACCGCAGCCAAGATGTGGAACAATTGTTCAGGTGGCCTGTCTTGACCCTGTGTGAAAACAGTGAGCGCTGCGGGTTGCTTGCAACCCACACACGAGTCATGACTTCTTCTTCGTGGCTTTGTGTCGACCCATGAGTCCGAAGTCCCGTGGAAAAATGGAACATGTGTTTTTGCAATGATTTGTCAACTTTGTCGTGGTTCTTGTGGATGTTTGTTCCTTGTTCGCTGAAATACGGTTGTTCATGCCCATTCCTGGTTCTTTGGTTTTCCATGTCAGTTTTGCGTTTGGTTGCAAACCATGTGTTGTACTTTGTTTTGTTCAACTAACCGTAGCTAGTAACTAACCAATGAACCAATCAAACACGTCGCAACATGATGTTATGCCGACTACTCTTGGGTCAAGTTGTTTCGTTCACCACACTGTGACACTGTGTGTGTTCGATGTTTTTGAACGTCATTTTTTCACTCAGCGTTGCCATTGTGGCTGGATAGTAGACCAATGGCGGAAAAGGACACGTCAATTTGTTACATGTGAGGCTGGAAAGATCCATGCAGATCAAACATGGAAATGTGTCAGTGAGAGCGCACTTCTTGATTTTTCCCAAGACTTCTTTAATGATGAAGTCGGACTGTGAATGGTTGAACATTGTATTTTCAGTTGACAATGTGGGAAGATAGATCCATACAGTAAATCTATGGCAAACAGGGACATTCAATTTTAGACCTGGCAAAGGTTTCTTCAAGCCTTGTTGCACCGCATTTTTTAGTTGGACACTATTGGTCCTTGGTCGGACCGTGACCGCAATGCGATGGCAAAGTTGCGCTCTTGTGCGCCCTTCAGGTGCGAACCAGACGTGGTTTTGCTTGGGAGAGGATGCACGAACAAACAGAAAATACGCCGAAAACGGGTAGTACATCACAGGATCTATATGCCCTGCAGCTGCAGGAATGCATGGCCTGCCTTTCCCCTTCAGGGGCAACCGATCGTTGCAGGTGCGCAAAAGAGAACATCTACCACACGCTGTGGTTTGTCGAATGAAGTGTTGAGAGATCCGTTGAAGAGCCATCCCAAACCCAGTTTCTGGGTAGCCAGTGCATGCCAGAGGAAAGTTTAGTCTCGATCGAGCTTGCCTGAGTCACATATTGAGGGTCGACGGACTCGGAGTGTTTGATGGAATGGAATGGATCTCATCAGACTTTGGAACAGTTGTTGCTTAGGACAAGCAACCCGATCCGAAGACGCCATTCAGGGGGAGACTTTTGGATGTCCATACTGGTCGGAGCACCAGGGTGTGGCAATTCTGGCATAAGGTTAGTTTGAAGGTGTTTCAATCCTTTGAATGCACCGCTCACAAGCAACACCTTTTTCAATCCTACAAAGCACAGGCAAGGATCAAGAGCACACAACAGTACAAAAGAGCTTGGACACTTGGATCACTCCACCAGCCAGGGACGGTTCGCACAAGTCTCAACACGATTAGCCAAGGCATGTCAAAGATCTCACCTTTGTAGGCAAATCGACTACAAGAGCCGCAAGGAAGCTTTTAGATCCAACAAGCGAACCGTGTTAGATCGTCAGACGGAGCGTTGCTTTCCAGGTCTGTCAGGCAGAAACCAATGCAGGCAACGAAGTGTTTCTTCGCATATGGCTTGATCAATCAACCACACCTGCGGCATAGTTGATTGTCCTGGAGACGAGTTTGACATACCCACGGTTGAAGAGTTTTTTTTCTGCGTCCACATGACTAGGAGCAACTAGAGACACCTGTGAGTCACTGGTGAGTCACTGATGAGTCTCTCCTCCTCTTCTTCTTCTGTATGGTTTTTCTTTTTTAACCATCAAGACATCAGAAACAATTTCTGTTCTCATGTTTTCTTTCTTTTGTAACCACCTTGCCAGGCTTTTGCGGCATCTCATGGCCCCTCCGGAGTTGTTGGAGATCGCGAAGCACCGATGCTTCAAGGGGACCTTGTACCGCTTCGAGCACATCAGCCCGGCTGGGACGCGAGTTGGGCGCGAGTCAAGCATAGGACCAGCATATGTAAGTCGGAACCTGTTGGTGTTGAACATGTTGGTCCAATCCGAGGTTCAATTCGGATCCGGTTTGCTGTTGGGACTAGTCGTACCCGTTCAAACCTATTTGGCATATGGCCCATGTTTTGAGATGAGAAATCTATCCGCAGGTCTTGGGCGATTGCACCATGAAACTCTCAACCTTCGTGCCCAGCGGCAAAGGCAAGTTTCCAGGTGTCCTTTGGACTTGTTTCGCAAGTTTTTGTTCCTTTGCACCATTCATGTGGTCAAATTCAACGGAATTGCTAATCTACAGTATTGCTATTCTACAGAATTGCTAATGACAACGGTACAGATAAGGTGATTTGGCTGAGCGGGCTCACCTGCACTGATGAGTCGTTAGCCCAACGTGCAAGCAGTGCTCTGGAATTTGCACAGGAGCTTCAGTGACGTGGCTGAGATGACTGACATACCTCTTGCAGTATGCCATTACTCATGAAGAGATTGCTTCATGATGTAGATCATTAATTTTTGTATGATTCAATGATGTAAGCCGGGAGGTGGTTGATATTGGGTTGGTGAAGGGCTTCGGCTTGCCAAGGTTGATTTTGATCATGCCAGACACTTCACCTCGAGGGGAGGGTGTTCCAGATGAAGATCCGAAGGCGGCGCAAAGCAGAAGTGGAGCCCTTGAAAGGAGCAAAGACTCCGTGTTGATTCTGTTTGCCACTTCCAATGGTTCTCACAACCTGTGAGGTGCTGTGCAAACCGGTGTTTGAGACTTTTGGGACACTCTTCTTTGCCGATTGCTTTGAGTGGTAGAAGTAGGAGTTTATAATATATACTTTATATGCGAATTATCCAAATGCTGTCACTGAAAGTGTATGCGACTTTTATGCTACTGACCGGCTTTTTCCCAACGTGACTGTTAGGCCTTTGATGTAGGCATCGGGGCAAGCTTCTACGTGAATGCTACCACCGAGAAGTACAAGCCAGCTGGATGCAGAGATCGCAAGACTATCTGACCTGAGCCCCGTGAAGCCACCTGAAACTGTTGTTCGGGGTGGTTCTTTCAGAGTGGTGGCAGTTTTCGCCCAAGGAAGCACTACCAAATGCTGGACTACATCACCCAAGAGCTGCCCTCGATGGTCGCAGCCAAGCTTCCGCTGTTGCAGAGTCGGCTTGGCATCATGGGCCACAGCATGGGTGGGCATGGGGCGCTTGTGGCTGCCTTGCCCGGCTGCCTAGCTTCGGGTCAAAAAAGGCTGAAGATGAGCAATGTGGTGAGCATGAGGTTGAGTATCCTACTGAATTATGTATATATACACATGTATATAATTGTTTTGAACTCACCACATGGCCAAGAGGCCCCATCGGGTTGGCACTTGCTGGCAGTGGCTTACATGCGTGGCTTACGTGCGGCACATGAATTTGTTGCTTTTTCAGTTTCGACTGCTTGTGTAGCCGCAACAAGCCAAGCTTCAGTGGGCTTAAGCAGCCGTCGGCAGCGACACTCTGAAGAGCTTTGTTGCTGAGGAGATATCCAGAGCTTTACCGCTCAGTCTCTGCCTTCGCGCCTATTGTCCATCCGACTGAATCTCCTTGGGGTCAGAAAGCTTTCAGCCTTTATTTGGGTGCCTCAGCTGAATTGATTCGATGCCTTCCCACCAGCTGGACATCCATTGGATCAACTATACATCAAATCCCACCCTGACTCGGATGACTCTTGGCTTCCTAAGGTGAGGATCACAAAGCTTGGGCGGCCTATGACACTCTGGAGCTGCTCAAGCGCTACAAGGGCCCCCCCAAGCGGCTTTTGGTGGATCAAGGCTCATTTGTTTCTTCCGGTTAGGACCGACTGTGGCCTTTTTTGGAGTTTTTGAATGGGTGTTCCTCCCCTTTGCGGCTTCGCCTCGCCAACGGCTTGGTCTCACATCTTGAAGGCCTGGCGGATCCCTTTCTGTCGGAGCAGTTGAAGCCCGGGCTGCTGAAGGCGTTGTGCGACGAGAAGGGACTGGCCTTGACCCTGCGAAACCAGCAGGCCACGGTGACCGGTGAGCGGCCATTGTCAGCTCGGTGGTTCGGGGTCGATTTGTTGTTCGTTGAGGAAGGTATTGAACTGTGCCAATGGGTGTTTCCATTGCAGGTTCTTTCTTTGTTAGCTTGCTACTGTACTGTTCGCGCTTCAAAGCCATTGTTGGGTCAGTTTGTTTCAAAAACACCCGAGTACAACTCACGCTACAAGCTTTTATTCGCTTGGGTTCAGGACTACGACCACTCCTACTACTTTATTTCCAGTCTGGTTCTCAGTGTTTTGCAGGACACATGAGAAGCTCACTCCTTCAGTTCTGGAAGCACCTTGCTCTTGCATTGCATTCGTAGGCTTAAAGGGTTTGGTTTCAAGTGACCCTGTGTGGTTTCGTTCTTTCAATAGAGCATGTTTCTGCTTCATGTTGTTTGGAATTCTCTGAGGTTTCATCCAGGACCACCTGAAATACCACGCCTCCTTTCTCACGGGAGTGCTGAAATGGTGCCCCGATCCTGAGCATCCACTAGCTGCCTCCGTGTACTCGGTGGATCCAGCGTCACCTGGATTTTTCCAGTATACTTGGAATCTTTGCAGTTTCATCAAATTCTAGAATTTCCTGATCAAAGCGGTTTTTGAATGATGGACCGGCAAAAGAACTCATTGATGGAGCAATCATTGTTTTTAAGGCTGGATGAATCTCTGGAAGATGAGACCTTGGAGGAGGTCAAAGATGAGGTGGAACGTCCTACTTGCCTGAATAGCATGATATAGCTCAATGCTTCTTTAAGGGGATGTCTATCAGGCTTGGGAGGCATAGATGGTCAGTACAGTGGCTGTGTATTGATTTGGTTTGGAAGAAAGAGCCCTGCTGAACGTACTCACTAGAGTCTACGGTTCTGGTCTTTGAGCTGGACTGCACTCAAGAGCGCAGGTTGACACTTCGGCCGAGAAAGTGGCTGAGCAACCGAGCGAAGAGCCTGCGCCAGGCAAGATACAATGTGATCAGGAATCTACTTCTTTGAGAGGGTGCAACGTAGACTTGCTGACGAAACATGACACGTGAAGAGCCTCCAGAGACGTGAGAAGATTGAACCATGAAGCTTTCTTGCTTCCCATAAGCGTGTGTGGGCCAGATGAAGTGGAGAAAGCTGCTTCCAAGGCAAGCAGGGCACCCTTTGGAAGATGATTTTGAGGGTGCGAGGCCTTTTTTGCCCCACTGTCTGCTGCAACCATTTGTTTGTGCAGTTGAATTGTGGTTCCCTAGTTTTTTAACGGGTACCGTAGCAGCTGAAGTCAATCATCTTTGGGCCTTTGGGTGTTGTGCAGAAGCCCGAGCACCCCAAGAATATCTGCCACCTCCTTGTTGACCCTCTATTCATATTGTTCGTGGGGATTGGAGCTTATGCTCCAAGGAGCGATGTCAACATCGATTGACCACACATTGGGGGCCGTTTTACCCCGACGTTAATGCGGAAAGTCCCATGGCGGAGATCATGGCATGAGTGGTTTGAAGGTACTTCCAACAACTTAGACTGTCCTGCGAACGATACAATTGACATTCCAGCCAACCTCATGGAAGACAACCCGGTGAGAGCACTTAGAACATTCAGGTGGATGCAAGTGCTTGGTTCCAAAAACGGCTTGAGGCCAATGGAATGCACCTATGTTCCAGATTGACCCTTGCAAATTACGTCGACAGTTCATTCCTTGCTGGGGCTTGCCAGTGTCAGCTATGCTTTCTGGAAATGAATAATGGGACACAATTGGGCTAGTCTTTGTGCTTGTAAGTCTCCTGTATTCAGGCTGGGAATCCGGAGAGCAGTCACCTGGAGGTGCTCGACGGCGTTCCAAGGGAAATCGATTCTTGACGCCGGGAGTATTTGCATTTGACGCCATGTCATTGCAGCACCAGCTTTGAATGTGCTTCATTTTGATTGTGAGAAACTAGCATTGAGTACAACACATTGTCCCGTCCTTGCATCATCCGAAGACACAAACTCGCTTTGGTATCACCCATGGCTACTTGAAGAGGAGGTGTCCAGAAGGAGCAGGTTTGCACTTACAACTCATGGAGTCACATTCTTTAATGTTTTCAAGTTCTTTTGCTGCAAGAGGCCTGCAGGTTTCATTTGCTTTTGCTCACCCAGGAATGCCTGGCAGCGGTTTGCTTCGAGGAGCCCTCCCTGAAGCTGGTGAAGATCCAGGTGTGGAAAGCGTTGGCCGTCAAGGTAGCTGCGGAAGTGTTATGACTCATCATTTGACTTATCCAGTGACTGTATAGCACTGGATGGCCTGACCCTTCGCCAAGATCTCTTTGAACCCATCGTCTTTCAGTAGCAAAGCCTTGCAGCCTCCCTCCGGTCACTCCCCCGCGGCCAACCGTGAGGTGTCGCCCCCAGGCCCGGGCGAAGTGCGGCTGCGCATCGTGGCTGCAGCGCCCAGCTTGGTGGACGTAGCCGCGCTGAAGGAGAGACATCTATTTTTTGCCGAATGTATATATATATACAGAGATATGTATATATATATATTCTCCTGAAGCTTTCGGTGTACACAAGCCAGTTTGTATGGAAGAGTCTATATCCAAGCACAGATGGCCCTCATTCTCGGCCCCCTTATGGCCTGCTGTTTCGCGGCCTCCCAAAAGCTACGCAAAGCAAAACGTGTCGGCGCACAAGAGGCACGCGAGCGAATAAAACACGTCAATTGTGACCAGCTAGCGGCGGTTCATCTGACGAAACACAAAATTTACGAAAACATAGGTAAAACAGTATGCGGCGAAAACCAAACCAAATAGCAAAAAACACATAGCCAGGAGCGGAGTTTCCCTCGAATCCTGGGCGTTGAAGCCGCTGCGGTGGTGGAAGATGTAGGCGGGGTCTTCTCGAAGAATTTGAAGGGAGGGTTGTGAGTTCTGCAGACTGTCAGCGGGTTGATGGCTTTTGCGCCACTTTGCCTGTTGGTTGACTTGAAACACCTGTGGATGGATCATGATCATCGATCTGCCGAGGTGAAGGTGTTGAGGAGTTCCAGCCCGGTGACCATGTGATTCCCTGCTTTTATGCCAACTGCGGGCGCTGCAGCAGGATACCAACTTGCAAGATGACTTCTTGCAGCTCGCAGGACAACTTCTGCGAATCCATCCAGCGCTTTGCCAGTGCCTGGATCAATGGTGGGAACGGCAGGGGGGGAGGAGCCGAAGAGGCCCTTCAAGACTCTTGGAAGATGCCTTCAAAAAAAGTGACACTGTGACTCAGGAGGACTTGTAGAGTCTCTGTGACTTGTGAAATGGCACCTTGGAACGAGCTGAAGGATGAAATCTTGAGCACCAGTTTTGAACTATGAACATGAATGAACATAAGCTACTAGTAACAAGTGCATCGCTACTAGTAGCTTTTTGCTACTAGTTGTAATGCCCTTGTTACTAGTAGCGATACCCTTGTTACTGAGCCACCTTAAATTAATGTCCAACCCTCTGGCCGAGGTCGTGGACTCATGCGGGATGAGACCACCCGCTTCTCCTACGGCAGCACTGAGATCTTCCACTTCCAGGGATGCAGTGCCTTCAGTGTCTGGCTCTCAGCTTGTGCTTCAGCTTTGATGATTGTGCAAAACGGTTCTTCTTGAGCTTCTGTGCTCCACGTGCAGGAGTACACTGTGGTACATGCGCAGTCCCTAGTGAAGATCCGGAAGGACCTTCATCAACCACCTCTTTTCCTCCAATGTTTCATGTTGAAGCTGTCGGGTTTGTCGCAGGACGCGCCGCTGGAGGTGGCTTGCCTTTTGGGTGGCGGAGTGGCGGCTGCCCTTGGCATGGCCACCTGCAAGCATTCAGCGACGAAGTGGCTGAACAGCACACGCTTTCGTTCGGGTCACCAAGGTCTGGCGGGTGGCCGCACTGCCCTACGGCTGCCCGGTGGGAGCGGTCTTCGGGCTCCAGGCAGAGGGCCTGGCGGCCCTGCGAGCGTTGCAGATGGCCAAAGCGGGGAGGAGAGCGGTCTAGATGTGTTCTTATCGGTGCAGTTGTTCTGTAAGGAAGTATTGGACAACAGCCCAAGTCCTGAGGATTTTCGCTGTGGATCCTGATCCTTCAAGGCTCGACACCTGGCGTGCATTGGTGTGAGCCTTTTTCAGTGGCCTAGGAGGTAGGCCGTGAGGGTTCATCAACAATGCCTCTTTTTGAGGGAGAACAACTTTCAGATCCCGGGGTACTCAAGGATCGTTCATTTGGGACATAGAACTTGTGACATGCTGGGAAAGAGACCATGACGCTTTCAAGGCGGCTTGACACGCTGAGGAACTTGCCAAGAAGTGGGGTGCTACCGACCTCATCAACCCATACTCTCTTCCAGAGGGAAGTAGCATCAAGGAGGAGATCCTAAAGCGTGCAGAGCCTTGGCCTGCCAGACGTCCCTGACACTGATGAAATTCTAAAACGGGTCAGGATCAGCGTGTGCAATCATTTCGCGGGAATGATTCCTCTTCGAAGACTTCTATACTAATTACTGTATGTGAGACATTACGTGTGCATAAATGCCTCACCGTTATAGCCATCAGGGCCGAGCTGTCCGTGCCATCCCAGGAGGCCCCCGCAGATGTGGCCTTCGACACCTTGGGCTACGAGGCCACGCTGCAGCAGGCGCTGGCGCCATGGGCGCCGAGCTACGCTTTGGTCTCATCGGCATCCAGTGGCGGGGGCTGCAGGGACCAGGGTTGAACAACGGGTTGATGGATGAAGGAGGTAGAGACAACAGGTGATGTGCATACCTTATTGACACATGAAAGCAGGATGAGATTATCACTTCTTTCCTCGTAGTGTAAGCCCAGGTCGTTGCATTATAAATTTAGGTGTCCAAAACGGTTCTGAGGATTCAATCTTTCTGACATCGCCCACCTCCAACGTGGAATCAACTCCGATGTGTTGGTCATTTGTAGTTGGGTTTCAGGCAAATTCTCAGCGTTGCACTGCAGGTACCAGGTTTCCGGTATAGAGGGGCTATATCGCTATTAGGTTGGAGGCCATCGCTAGCGGGTTGGAGGCCATTGCTACTTAGGTCCGAGGTCATTGCTATTAGGTTTATACTGTGGAATATAGTGCCATGCCCTCTACGCGCCTTCCACGCGTGGATGGCCACTGAGACAAGGTGCGGTCCATGTCACTGGCGGCCTGGCGGGTCGTGGCATCCCCTTCGGGGGCTGGAGGCCAAAGCTTCATGTGCCACTGCTTGTCGCCGGGCCCTTAGCGAGGATGACCGTGGGATGTGCAAGACGAGCGTTCTGGTCTGAAAGAATTCCGTTGGTAGTAGACTGTAGAGCGGGAGTCTTAAAAATGGATTCTTCCTTCAGATCCTGGAAGACTGATTGAAAGAAACAGCATCATTCAGCAGAGTTCCGTTCAGGACTTGTTTATGGCTGGGGAGTTGAAGCTTCGCGCGCCTTTGTCTTTGATTCAGTGTTCCAGAGTCAAGTTTGGAAGGTGATGCCACATGATGCCACTATCATCGGCAAAGCCATTCCCCCTGAAGCCAAGGACTTTATCAGCCACACTGCGTCCTTCGCGGAGATTAATGAAGTTTTAGATTCCTACCACGAGCCAGACCGGATTCGGACGGTTCTTCGCTTCTGACCAATACCTGCTTCCGAGACTGCGCTGGTCTCGAAGTGTCAGAGCCCAGTCGTGTCTGTGTGGACAGAGAGAAAAGGGCCGAGAGCTGCAGATATCTGCAGATGGCATTCTTCGTACGTTGATTCATTGATTTGTGCACATTCATCCCTGAGCACATTTCTACTTCAGTAGCCAGTTCTTGATTTCTTTTTTGCATTCCGGTTTATGGTGTGGAACTACATGCAAAGGGTTGCAGCAATGAAGGCTCCATTTCAGTTCTTAGTAGCCCAAGCAATCAATTGAGCCAGGGGGCAAGAAAACATGAGCCATAAGCCAGCACCGTCAGCGCCCGTAGCAAATTGTAATTTAAATGAAACATGCTGAAGAAGTGTCCTAGATTGATTGCCCAGAACAGTTCTTCAAGCAAAGGGATGTGAACACAAAGCAACTACAATAACATCAGAATCGACTGCGCTGTACCGCACCTTTGTCAGGGCCTGTTGGTCCATACAGTCTTCATCCCAGCAAATCCGAGTGACATGTTGGCTGAGAATGTCATGCCAAATGCTTCGATTTGAGTCCTGAGGTTAAGATTGTACCCATTATATAGACCGAAAGACAATCTGAAACCTTTGTTTGATCATTTGATGCCACACCTTTCAATTTTGTATTGAACTAGCAAGTGGCAAATCTGTCAAATTAGCTTGCTTTCAGAGAGGCTGAGCAAAGTGTTTGAGGTCATGCGGGATGAAGTGCAGCGTTCACAAGGCATGGAAGTTTGTCTCAAGTGACTTGAAGCTCGTAGAAGCGCTTATCCATTTTTGCCTCAGGAACTGATGTTCCTCAGGCCATGGGCTGGTGCGGGTGGCCTGGAAGAGGTCCTTTGTAGGAAAACGTGCCGTACAATCTAGGCATCCAAATAAGGGCTCCAGCATGTCAAGATGAGAGCATGGTTGTAGAACACTGCTGCAATATGTTGACCCACATACCCAAACAAAAACACCGTTTAACAAGTTTCCAATCAGAAGGATAGACTGTTGGGACATTCAGGATGTACAGCTTCTTAGTGCATCAGGCAAGCGTTTGATCGGTGGGCATGCCAGGTGAGGGCAAGGAAGAAGGAGCAAAAGGCGCAGCATTTCCCTTTTGGAGATCCTTGAAGCAGCCTCTAGTGAACAAACGAAGCACACGAAACAGAGTTTTGCGACTGAAACCGCGCGCGAGCCAGCAGCATGTGGCATGGGCTTCTAGACACATCGCACATGGCACTTGCTTGGGCTCAAGTGGCTGGACAACTTTCACCCGTTTTTGAGTTCAGTTGTTGCCACCATGGACGGGCTGATTTTGGAAGGCAAGGACGACGGCAAGAGCAACAAGGTGCGACATGAAACGGAGAGCATCAAATCTACGGCTCAGTTTTCTCCACGTTTTGTTTGACTCGAACATGTTGCCATCAGCTTCCACCAAAATGTTCATCGGTTTTTGGGGAGTTCCTCGCGGTTCCTCTTTATGTCTTCCCGAGACGGCCGAACGAAGAGGTGCACATCCGTATGCAGCAGCGCAACGGTCGAAAGAGTTGGACCACGGTCGCCGGCTTCCCCGAGTCGGTGCGACTCCCGAAGTCCGGGAAGGTGCTGCAGGCGAGAGTGGGCGAGAGTGGGCGAGAGTGGTGGGCTTCTGATTGTTTGGAGACCAAGTAGTTTTGAGATCTGGTTCTGGGTATTTGGTTCTGGTGGCAGGTGGATTTCGAGAAGATCTTGCGAGCGCTGAAGAAGACCTTCAAGACCAATGGAGTGCATCACAGGGACCCTGATCATGGCAGCGTGCTGCAGCTGCAGGGAGATATCCGCAAAGACGTAGCAGATTGGCTGGTAGAGGTCACAGCAATCATCACCAAGGATCAGATCATGATCCACGGATCCTAGAGAGACAAGTCAGACAAGTGCCGTGCAGGCCTTTTTTGTACAGTGCGGCCAGTAAGACATGGTCATGCAGGGAGAATCGCATCCAGAGAAGATCAAGAACGCTCCACGTAGTTCCAGAGAAAACAGCGCTTTTCAATTACCACATGCCTGCTGCGAAAAGAGTGAGAGAGACGGAGAGAGACGCCTATGTGTGCAGTCAGGCCTGCGCCTTTGGTTCCTCTGCAGAGCGAGGTGCGCACTGCGAATTCCCCGGTCATGGACTTGTTCTCCAACAGGGCAAAGCTTTTGTTGGAGCACCCAGATTCAATTTCATGCTGTTGAGTCACCCGCTCCCTCAGAGGTCCAGAAGATTGAAAGATGTACCCATATGTACCCATCAATTTGGCAGACAGCGCAAGTTCATAGAATCAAACATAGACTTTTGACACGGCCTGATGGACTTGGAAAGATTGGTTATGACTACTGCAAGCATTTGCATGCAAGACTATTATATATATATATTATAGTTTGCTTATACTGTTTTATACTATATACCTTGAATTGCCCCCAGAACAGGTAAATTGTGACTAGGAGTCGATGTATGGATAGTAGCACGAGAAAGACGTAAGATGCGAGAAAGATGAAGGCTGGGGTAAACATACAAGCAACCCAAGTGAAGTACTTGACAGCATCGTCGGAGACAAAAACATAGGTGATGGTAGATGTCTTTTGCATGCAACCAAATCCTTTTGAACTTGACAGGCTTGGCAAGCCTGACTCTCCTCACCAGACCACGTTCAGGTGCGGAAGAGTTGTGGGTTTGCTGCTCCTCAGTGGTCAATGCAAGAATATCCCGTTTTGGTGGAACCGTACAGATGGGCACAGGCAACGGCAACGCGAACTGTTCATATTACTGTAATCGTTTGTGGTTCGAGGTGAAGAAGTGAAGCCAGAGGAGACCTCAGAGCAGAGAGATGGTCGAAGGTGCAGATGACTCTGGAAATGTTGATGGGGTAACAAGAAGCTACTAGGAACAAGTGCATCGCTTCTAGTAACAAGTGCCTTACTACTAGGAGCAAGAAGCTACTAGGGGCTCCTGGCCTTACTAGTAGTAACAAGAAGCTATTAGTACCTTAATGGTCTCGCCTTAATGGCCTCCATGCTAGACCTTGCTCAAACTGCCAAGGCCCAGGAGCATCGGAGGCGTTCGAGCTCGAGCTCTGGCGATGGGAGGCAACCACACCCAGACTTTCGTGTACAGCATGATTCATTTGTGTTTCTTTCTTGTTCCGTGATAAGAAGCAGGTGCTTCTCGACCATGTCCGGAGTCTTGACCAAATGAACCATTTGTTCAATCAAGTTTCCCCACGGTTGGAATCATATGGTTCTTCCATCATGTCGAGGCAGTGTGTCACGCCCATGGCAGCAGAGCACAGCTTGGAGCTGAGTTTGGATTTCCAAAGGGACTGTGCACTTGCTGCTCAGCATGCGATGCAGGACTAGCAGAATGGATGATGCTTGAACTGACTTGTGCTTAGAAGGGAATGAGGGAATGGATCCAAAGGACTCTGTACTGGGAGCTCATTCCCCTTATTCCCTACACGTCAGTAAAAAGGATTGGCCCTTCATTTTCAACATGGTCCCATGTGCCCCCCCGTTGAGGCGAGGCCTCGGAAAAGATCAAGGCACGGATCCAGTGCTGCCTACAGAGCCGCGCGGGCAACGGGAGGAGCGGCGCTGGGAGATGAACGAAAAGAGGTGAGGTAGCAGGTGGGAGATGTGCCATCGGGGTGGAACAGAAAGAAGAAAGATTCTGAAAAAGATTTGGTGAAATGATGTGAATGGAACCATTTGGATCCATTGGTTGGTAGGAAGCTGACCCGCACGTGCATCAGCTGCTCTTGACTTTCTGATCCGCCTTGCTTGCATGAGAACGGTGTTCAAGTGCGGTGAACAGCCCGGCAAACTCTCAGGAGCAAGCAGTGGAAGGGTGAGGCTTGGTGGCGCATGGAAGAACTCATTCGGAGACCATTTTGACATCGAACATCTCACATTCTTGCAGATGAACACACCCAAACCTCACAAGCTGTTGGTTTTCCGGTTTCGATTTGGCGGAACACTGCTGCTTTGAAATCCGCATACACCCACTTTGCCCGACTTGTGGTTTTCTCTATGACAAGAACGGGAGAACTCACACGTCGACCTCGAGAAGTGAATTTGATTTGAGAATAGAATGGCTTGCCATCTTGCTCGGCTCATACAGGGTCATGACAGTTGCGGTGACATGAGGCTAAGACAAGCCGCTCTAGGATGCGGCGCAGGTTGCATTCACAGTGACAGCACCACCAAGCTCGTGCCAAAAGGCTGTGGTGCAAAGTACTGAAAAAGTCCCAGAACCAGTGCCCGAGAAGCCCCGAGGCCTGTCGTTTGTGGTGCACGGGGTTTGAGGTTGAGTCTCCAGTTTTTGCGCCGGTATGCGATAGATTCCTTTGCACGCTTTTCTGGGAGAACTTCGCGGGCCCAAATCGCAGGCCGCAAGTCTTTGAGGGGTGACAGCAGGCGAGATGGCTGGTGACGAGAGTTAAGCGGATCAGCTCTTGTGAGCAATGGAAGACTGAATGAACAGCAGAAGCTGCTTTCATTCGTCAACCTCAAGTCCACCGCGCCGTGTGCAATGGCCTTGTGCGATGTTTGAATTCTTGGAATGTCTCTTCGTGTGCCTAGAAGCGAACTCATGAGGTCACCCAACGTTGGGGCCAAGGAGGCGGGGGCAGGAGTGGTGTATTTTTTGGGGGTGGCGGGGTCCATTTCTGCAGCGGCAGATTTTTGGAGGCCAAGAAACTGCACTTCCTGGGTTTTGAGATGCTTTCAGCTCCAAGCTGGCAGGGCTTGGTGACCAGCTCTCGCTCCACGCACGGGAGCCTAGCTGGTCCCATGGAGCCAGAGTCTGGAAATGACATGGTCAAGAACCAAGGGATTGATGGAACTGAGCTGATGGATCTGGCTCCGATTTTTGGTGGAAGTAACCACGTGCAACAAACCCAGCAATGCACTGCTCCAGGCGTAGGTCCCACCTGTCAAAGGGGAATTCTTGTGAAATCCAATAAGACAATCTCGGGAAGGGCCGTAGGGAGATCTTCGAACCTCTGGTCTCGCCTCGCGTCTCAGGTCTGCTGGGGTGAGCCCACAGCGTGATCAGAGCAACAGATCCACAGGCGAAGTGGTGTCAACGTGGTGAACGTCTTCAAAAGCAATGTCCCTACTGAAACACTCCGCTGTGTCCAGATCCACATTAGTGGGTGCTTGGGTGTTTACCCCGAGTGGACTGATTTCTTGTTTTCATTTTTTTTTGGTAGATGGTGACTGACTGACTGACTTTAGTTATCTTTCTATAACTGCCACTGTGCTTTGCATGAGGATGCACCTGCTAGGCCCGCCTGCTGCTTTTGCTCCGCCGGTGACGCGTGCGCAGCGGGTGCTGGGGCGAACTCCTAGCCCACCGCGGGAGAAAACTCCAGAGCCGCAAGGAGAGGGGACGTGGAGAGGGCTTCTTTGCTTGTGTTCACAAGTTGTAGTTTAGAACGTGGCATTTCCTATATTTCAACGTCATCGACGCTGCGACGCTTAGATTGAGGGCTTGCAGAAACTAACATTGTTCTGAGACTCCGCACGAAATCAGTTCGTGAATCCCACGGAAAGTTGACAAGACGCTGATTCTGTGGCTTCCCTGGAGGAAACAATCTTTTGGATGTTTATCGCAGCATCTTCGAGGAGATCATCCAGTTGGATCACCAGTACGGGGCCACACTCCGAAAGGCCTGAATTCTTTGAACATCCGAGAGACTCCGAGAGACATGTCGAGCCGGGTTTTCCACAGAAACAACCCCTTCGAGGTCTTTCTTATTCTTTCTTCACTGTTTTGGTCCTTTGCACGAGTGTTCGAAACGCTTCCTACCCGGCAGGTGAAATCGATCTACGATTCTCATTTGGATGGCATCACCGAGGCGTTTTGCGTGCAGAGCCATGCCTTCGTGAAGAGTGACGGTGATGCCTTGGTGCAGAGTCAAGTACAGACGTCCAACGAGAACAGACTTGCACAGATCGCTGCCGATGGAGTGTTGTTGTTTCTGAAGGGCACCACTGGAGGAGTTCCTGCCCAGTTCGCACCAAGACCTTTCTACTATAGGATAGGCATAGATAGTCTAGAGGATTCTGTACAGGTGTCTTGGAGCCACTAAGAAGCGGCTGGGCTCGTTTTGGGAGTCCTGCCTTGGCAGTTGCGCCGGGAGAACGACCGACTTCGGGCAGCTCTTGCACCAGGCTGGGAGGGTTCAGTACTATTAACATTGATTCTGACAAAGATGTGAAGTGCGCGTCCTTGTTACTAGTACCTTCTTTTTCCTAGTAGGAAGGCCAGGAGCTACTAGTACCGTCCATGCCCTTTGTATCCCTTTGTGACTAGTCACTTTGTTCCTTTAACCTTCACTACCTTCATTCATCTTCCACCTTTCCGGTCGGTGAAGCCAGGTGCATGGAGTCAGCTCCGGCCCTCCCCAAGCGTGGCGGGGCCTTTGGCAGTGCCCGTGGGCGCGCCGTTGGGTGTCGTACGGATTGCCAAGTGGAGCTGGAGCTGGGTACAGAAGCTTGTTGAGTTTCTTTTCTTTTTTTGGACGCGGTTGGAGTAAAGCTGTGCCGAAGAGCAAGTTTTGACAAAGCAGTATTCAAGAAGTTTGGGATCAGCGTGATAGTCTTTTGTTAGTGCTTCCTTCAGAAGAAGCAGATGTCCTTCCAGAGCTTGTGCCATGCTCAAATGCTCAGATAAACACAGTGGGTCGATCAATTGTTTTGGTCCAAGGCCCAGCAATTTCCGCTGAACGGTGCTGGGCGGCCACAAGCAGTGCCCAGGTGAAATGTCGATTGGTCGTCAACCTTCAGAATGATAGCTTAAACAACCTTTTTTTCAGATGCACAGGTGACAACGAAGTTCTCGCCGTGCGGCTACAACCCCTTTGCAAGTGTTTGATAAGGATAGGGTAGCTTCAGAGCTTGCTTGTGTTTGAAACTCTCTCCGGCCTTTTTTTGGAGAGGTAGTGCAGTGGTAGCAGTCACTACGCCTTCTTGAGAAGATCTCCTTTGTCTGAAGTTCAGGGTTTAAAGGTTTTTTTCACCAACCCCTGCGCCCATCGGTTCCCATCGGTCAGGTTGAATTTGCAAGGATTGTATCCTGCCAATTGAGGTGCCCAGTCCCCCGTAGTGTCGTTCTTGTCAACAGTTGCAAGGCCTGCTTGTTGTTCTCAGGCCCTTATGTTTATACAAAGGCTAGCAAACTGAGTGTTTGAAGTTTGAAGTTCCGGACCAAGTTGCCAATGCCTCAAAGAAAGCATTAGCACAAACACACAGGTTTCCCCTTTTCACATTGACACATTCCGTCTCCGAGCGTTTGGCTCACAGTCTGCACTGAAGACCTGGGCTCCGAGGTGACGACTCCAAACTGGTGACTGGTGTTACCGTAAGAATTCACAGGTGTTACTGTAAGAATTCAGCAAAGAAGAACCGTTTGCTCTTAGATCTCCTGGAAAGCACCATACTATGTAGTCCTTCGGAGGCTTATCAGGGGTTCATCAACATTCTGTCTCTTGCAACCATAAGTTGATTGTTTGGAAAGCGCTTTGACAGGCTGTTGTTGCCTCAATCTCCCTTTTCACGGCGGACATCAAGCAACTAGCATCAGAGTTTTGTTTCTTGTTTCTTTTTGTGGAGCTGGTTTCTAGTCAAACTGTCAACATGCTGAATTTGTAGTAGTGCAGAGTTTTGTTGTGTACGCAGATATTTCAGGGATCTGAGCGAGTACCATGAGGACCCGCTCAACCGTTGTGATGATCTTGGCAGAAGTGGGTTTCCAGAACTCCATGGGATTTGATCACACTAATTGAAGAGGCAATCCATTGAAGGAATTGAAGCCCTTCACCACTGTGGAAGGCAATGAGCTTCCTGCGGCTTAGTTTGCTCCTTTGTGCGGCCTCGGCCTCTGCCAGCTGCGTGATAACTGCCCAGGCAGGACCCGTTCAGACAGTGTGGATTCGAGACATCAGCGCAGTAAGGGTGGGACTGTCATCCTGACGGCACCCCAATGCAGACATGAGGCTCTGTCAGTGTCGAAGCGACTGCCTGGTGTTCAGGTCTGCCAGAACTTCCCGGACTTCAGCAGGCAATGGACAACTTCAGACAACTGACTAGATATTTTGAGCACATAGTCATCTCGGGAGTCTTGAGTCTGGGCAGTTGGCATACTGAATGAATAGCTGCAAGCATCGTTGTAGAAGTCTTGCCGAGTCTTGCCATGTTTAATATGTCCTATCGTCCTACAGTGTCCGTAGATATCACTGTAGTGACTGTAGTGCTTCCTTGTACGGTATGAGAGAGTTTTGTTTTTGAAGATGGAACGCAGAGGAAGAACACCTCGTTGCTGCATTTTGAAGCATCCTTAATGTTCTGCCATTTTGTAAAGTGTTGGCTATTCAAGGGGCAGGTCGATCTGTGAGTAGCTCACTTTCCATAGTTGAAACGAGAGTCAGAGAAGGCTGCATATGTAGGTGGGTGCCCGTTCAGACTGAGCTTAGTGGCTTAGGTGTGTGAGTGTGTGTGAGGCAGCTTCCTATTTTTCTTTTGAAAAGCCGCACACGTGCTGTTTCGTGTGTGCGATCACCAGTGGCTCTCGATGTGCGTCGGACCAACGATACAAAGAGGACACAGTTCCGAGACCTTCTGGGCGAGCTGAACTTGGGCTCCGCTGGATCAGAAGCAGTTTGCTTGAAACGTGCCGAGGAGTGGGAATGGGGAGTTGTTGTATGGAGAACAATCACACCGCAAACGCCACTTAATCCTGTACTTAATTTCAACAAGCCTGAAGCATGAATCATGGTTTCAATATAAGCACAAGCTGCTCATGAAATGGGAACTGTTGTTGCTTTTCTTGAAAGGACTTCCACCATTGGTGCGGGAACAATGCGAGCACTTCTGTGGCTTCTACCTTCATGCTGGACAAGACACAGTTCTATGACCCAAGTGACTCGTCCAAGGGATAGGCGGTGAGGTTTGGTAAAGCCGTGGCCACGCCGTGGGAAAGTTGTTCACTCAAACAATTGGTATTCCACGCACTGGTTGTCAAGTCTAAATATAAATTAATGAATTGCATCAGGGTGGTGGCCTGAGAGAAGTGGTGATGGGACTCACTATCGACTTAGGTGCGTGTGATGCTGGCTGGTCTCAATGGGACACCTTCTGCTATCGTTTTCACCTGGCCGCTTGAGAGCAGCGTTGGGTCGAAGAATTGGTGGTTCAAGCATTCGACTCGACCATTTGCTCACGGTTTCCTCTTGTGTGTTTGACTCAGTTCTGAGGACATGAAAACGTGGCTGGATGCAGAGAATGTTTGCAGAGCTTCGAATGCTCATTTGGTGCCTTGATGCCACAACTTTTGCAAGCTGCATGTATTCTGAATCACTGAATGGTACGTTGGTGCTCAGGATGCACTTGTCAGCAGGTCGGTCGTGATATGCTGATTCGGGTAATCAATTGAGGATCCTTCATCCGAGGCTTCCATTCATTCGGCAGAGGAGAACAGCTTTGTTCACCATTTGGCAAACGGCTTGAAAGTCTGGATCGGCTACAATGGTCTCAAGAATGAATTGCGCCACGGTCGCAATAATGCTAGTCTTTGTTTCTTGATTGACAGAGGCCGCTACATCGTGCTGTTGAATATAAAGACAAGGACATGATTTTGCCGGAAGTGGCCATGCGAATTGCTTCCAGTCTCCGTGAATCAGAATTCCCAAACCTTTTGCCATGGGAGATGTATAGGTGTTGCTTGGTTTGTTTGGAAGTGATTTTTTTTGCATGGTCGAACGCGCTTTCTTATTGGCTCAGACGTCCTCACGAATCCAGCATTGATCGGTGGACACAAAGTCCCTCCAAAAAAGCATCGGAATCACGAATGATGGGGCTGCTTCGGCTTCGATGCTTGTGGTTGTTGATCTTTGGAGTTTATGGATCTCACTTCTCCACCAGATCAGACTTACGAGCTGCGCTGCTCCAGCGCCTTGGCAATGGCCACTCCCTACCGCGACCCTGAGCGACCGCGCGTCCCTTCACGATCTCGCTCGGAGCGACGTCGATGCGGTCGCAAGTTCAGTGGACCGAGAGCGAGCGAGTTCGGTCGCACGTGAATCGTGTCGGATGTTTTCAAAACAGAAGATCCTCGAAGAAATGGTGAATCGTGTGCATCGTCACGTGAATCGTCAACTGCCGGATGTCTTGAGGATGTCAACCATTTCAAAGAAGAAAAGAAAAGATCCACGTGAATCGTGTCGGATGTCAATCGTGTCGGATGTTTTCTTCTTTTCCATAGAAGATCCTCGAAATGGTCCCGCATGGTATGCTTTGGGAGATCAAGCGAGGTTGACAGCCACGCGAGTCAAACTTTTGGGGAATAGTCTGTCTAGTGAGTGTTGAAATCTAAACAGAACCCACCGAAAGGACCAAACAACGGTAAATAATCATCAGGGCTTCCCTTTAATTCAGGGTGGTGGGCTCATTTATTCCTTTCGACCTTTCCTGAAACGACTCGACCGAGGTGGCACAATGCGAACGAGGCCACCAAGTTGCAGCTGACCTCGTTGTGGGGAGCACCTGGTGAATGGAACGTGTCATCGGTGACCAACATGAACCTAAAACAAGAGTGGGAGATTTTGTGTTTGTAATTGTTTTGTGTGGTTGTTTTGTGAGTTTACAATAGTTACTGTGGCTATCTGTGGCTTACAGGCTTCACCACACACTTGAATATGCCAAATTGGTTTGGTATTGACTTCCTGGAGCGTGAGATGAATTGATGCTGACAACCAGGGAATCCTTCCTTCTGGTAGCTGGCATCATTTCCACCGTACCTTCAAGTGAGGAGGAATCAAACCTAATGGCCCGGTCTGCCAGAGCATGCCAAGATTCTTGAGGGTGGTTCCGAGAGAAAGAGAAGAAAGAGAAAGGGCATCGAGTGGCTCTAAGGAGTGGTCTTTTCAAGGACTTGGATGTCTTCAATGAGAATATCAGCGCATGGGATACTTCGAAGGTACTGGATATGAGTTCCATGTTCCATGGAGCCGCTGCATTCAACATGCCCATCGGACATTCAGCCGCACTTTAAGAGTTGGTTAGACCGATTCAGTCTAATGCTTTCGGGCGGCTCGCCCATCCCAGCCGAAACCACTGGGCCGAAGGTGGCGGTATCAGCTCTCGTCCATCCCACAAATCACAGACAAGGTCCCAGGTCAACAAAAAGACTCGGAGGTCGTTCGTCCATCTCAGTGCACAAGACAGTTCTTCACAGTTCTTCCCAGTCCGAAGGTGCAATAATATTTGAAGAATTCCGGTTTCCATTTTTTTTTCCAAGAGATCACTCGTCAACACATGTTCGCAAACGAACCTCAAATTTAGGGCAAGGGTTGGTGTTGACAGTTCATTCATTCCTGGAAAAGAGGCAATTTCTTTTTTCTTGAGATGTTTAGACCACCAACATGTGTGCTGCCAATCGTACTGCGGTTATTGCAAGTGATTGGAATGTCCACTCCTTTGTGAGAGAATCAAGGCATGTGGAACACATCAAGTGTGAAGACAATGCACAAAATGTTCTACAAGGCTTCCAGTTTCAATGAGCCCATCGGTGCTTGGGACACGTGCAAAGTGAGAAGCATGAAGGGCATGTTCTACAATGCTGTGAAGTTCAACCAACCCATTGGATTCTGGAAAACCTCTGCAGTCACAGATATGTCGTTCATGCTGTGTGGAGCCAGATCCTTTGATCAGCCGATCGGTGCTTGGGACACAGGCAATGTCAAGAACATGATGAACATGTTCACACTGGCAGCGGTCTTCAACCAACCCATTAATTCGTGGAATACCTCTGCTGTGACGAACATGTCCGCAATGTTCGTAGGAGCCGTGTCTTTCAACCGGCCCATTGGTGGGTGGAACACCTCGCGGGTGAACAACATGAGCTACATGTTTGAACAAGCTGACACCTTCAATCAGCCGTTGAATCATTGGGACACTAAGGCTGTTACGAGCTTCTCTGGCATGTTCTTCCGTGCCAAATCCTTCAACCAGCCCGTGGGAATGTGGGAGACATCATCAGCCACAGACATGAGAGAGATGTTTGCTGGGGCCCAAAGTTTCGATCAGTCCATCTCAACATGGAACTTGACATCGATCGCTGATGCACAGGCTATGGCCGAAGTTTTCACGGGTTCAGGCATGTCCACATGCATGGTGAGTCGCAGTTCCCAAGCCTGGGGTTTGCCGCCTTACAGCATTAGACAGACTTGGTCATATCAATCCTGTGACAAATGCCCTTGTCAAAGAACGAACTTGGCCTGCGTGGATGAAGCCTGTCGACCAGTGAACTCCGCTTCATTGAGCTGGGCCGAGGTGTCTGGGACGATCGAAATGCAAGTCTGACAACGGCTTTGGGCTTTCGAGCATGTGTCAACCGCTGCAAAGATTCGGAGTGCGGTGCTTTTCTTCTGGAAGAGTCTGGACGCTGCTGGCTGATGAACGACCAGAGTGAGCTCAGCTTGCGGCGCGGCCTTTTCCGTGAAGGAACTGACACCCTTTCCACATGTCATGATAGCTTTCTAGCTTTGTCTAGCTGTTTAAACAGTATGGCTCATGTTTCAAGATGTCAAAGCTCAGCCACGGCTCTCCTGGAGGATCGGGTCAGAGCTACTTGGCGTTTCGCACGGCCTCTTGCAGTACCTTCTCGTGCCCCGAGGGAACGACACTGGCGATGGGTCATAACGGCTCAGACATGACGGCGACCATGACGGCGGCCTTCTGTTGCAGGTGTGCTGCTCCCAATGAGGTTCCGTTTCGGAGCAAGGCACCTGTCACTTGGAGCTGCCAAAGTGTGCAAAGATTCACCTCTTTCTTGCACGATTTAGCTGTTTCCTTTGCTTTTGCGTTTTTTCCAAGCATGCGCTGATTTCGTTTGATTGGGGTTCGATAATTGGTACAAGCTGTACTGTACTTTCAACGAGTGTCAGGTCTACAAGAAAGTGGGGTTGAACACACCTCCCTTTATGCCGAAGGTTCGCTCTTCGGGTTTTCTCCGGGTTTCTCCGGTTTTCTCCGCATCCAAGCACCAGAAAATCCCCAAAGCCTGAGCGGTGTTTTCTTCTGTGCATTCTGGGCCATGCGGAGCCACTGGTGTGGGGCTTCTGAAAAAGGTGGCATTTCTCGGGCGGATCAAGACGTGGATGACGATTAAGTAGCTTTGGTCACAGATCGCTCGATCAATCGACCAGGATCCGGGCTCGTCACAGCGCCCATGCGGGTGTGAGCCTTGCATATTTGATGGGCGACTTTGTACGGTTGGCCTATGACTGGTCTGGCGAAGAGAATCCAAGCTTTCTTCGCTTGAAGGAGGCCACCCAGCCGCATGCATCTCTGAATCGCATGAACCTTTGCTCTTCCTTCAGGCTGAAGGTCTTGTTTTTCTGCTTTACAATACCTTGAAACCCTATTGCCAAGACGTGCGTTTTTGTTGAGGTCTTTTGGCAGGGTGACGAGAAGCTCGGGTCCAACATTCGTTGCCCTCGAGATGGCAGACCAGGCTGCGCGCTTGTGGATTGGCTTCCACGAGAGCATCGACGACTGCAAACTCATTTCATGCGACCAGGAACACATATATTTTTCTTATGTGTTCTTATTCTTTTTCTATCATCTCTTGGAGTCCAGGGAGCATTCTGTTTGAATGTGTTTTGCGACCTAGACATGTGCTAGTGCAGGGTTGCTAGAGAAGATTTGCTTGGGTTGTAGGTGTTTCTTCCATCGGCTTTTCGGGATTTCGAAGACAACAGCAGTGTTTTTCTTCTTTTCCCAAGTTGCCCACGCCATATTCTCGAGGAAATGCGTTTGGTAGAGAGGGTCTGTGGGAGATTAAGAGTGGAACATGATGATCTTGAGGTCCTGGAGTTGGCAATATTCACTTCAACAACTCCAGAGTGCCATGAAGATGTGGAGATCAACCCGAACCCTGGAGTTTCATGACCTCTCAGCTGAATCAAGTCGGTTTTGGTGGAGTGCAACGTGATGGAAGGAGGTTATCAGAGCTAGAGTTGCTAGAGTAGTACTCTGAAATTTCAGATAAGTCGGTCGTGTGAGTCAGTGTGTCAATTGACTTTAACTGCCCTTTATTCCCCAATAGCCATGCTATGGGGTCTTGCAAAACTAATAGGCGGACGGGCGCCGTCGGGTCACCGTCAGAGCTGGTGGGCGGATGGTGTCCCGGTCATGTTTTGATGGCGTCCGGGTCATGTGATGCTGGTGTCCCGGTGTCCCGATCATGTTTTGATTGTGACCCAATCATGTTGTGATGGTGTCCCGGTCCTGTTTTGATGGTGTCCCGGTCATGTTTTGATGGTGTCCCGGTCATGTTGTGATGGTGTCCCGGTCATGTTTTGAAGGTGTCCCGGTCATGTTGTGATGGTGTCCCGGTCATGTTGTGATGGTGTCCCGGGCATGTTTTGATGGTGTCCCGGTCGTGTTGTGATGGTGTCCCGGTCATGTTTTGATGGTGTCCCGGTCCTGTTGTGATGGTGTCCTGGTCATGTTTTGGCGGTGTGCCGGTTATGT